TAAGGTATTAGTATAAAAGGGACCCAAGAAGAATCCTTGTGGTGATGAAACGGTGTACTTTGACTGGGGCTATGGATAGCCCGGGGATGGTCCTGAGCGCCTTGAATGCCATTGTCCCCCGGGCCTCTCTCCTGCCTGCCAGTTTGGGTGATGGTCCCCACATAATCCCACCAGACTGCCTAGAAGTTGGCTACGGTGACAACCATACATGCCATCGTGTCAGGGCATGGGAAATTAGCTGAAGAAAAAGGAAAAATTCCTTTTTATTACCTCCTCAGTCAGGAAATGGAAAGGAAGTTCACTTAAAGAGATTTCAAAGTAAATGATGCATCTGCTCAGACCCACACTTTGCCTCCTAATTCTTGGCCTGGAACCACTAGTTTATGTAAGAAGATCTCTAGTGTGAATGAAAACAACAGAGGGCCCGGTAGCACAGTGGTCAGGCCACAGGGGAGACACACAGAGATCTGGGCTTGAGCCCCGTCTCTGCCCCTGTATTGTGTGGGGGTTTAGACAGAGTACTTTTCCTCTCTGGTCTTCAGGTTCACGGAGATGCCAACAGTGCTGTCTCTTAGGGTTGTTTCGAGCAGTGACTGAAATTGTTCATGTAAAGTAAAAGTGCCAGTTATAGTGCCTGGAACACACAGCAAGTGTTCAATAATATCATTGGTCTTTATTCAGTGCTCCACACGTGAAATGTTCAGAAAATGCTACGGACTCAATTCAAAAGTCTGTTGTGCCTCTATTTCTAGTTCAGTTCATACTCCGCCCTGGGCTGTTTGGGCATGAGGTTTCTTGTCTGTTAGGTTAATTCTTGCATTTCTAATCTTAACTCATTTTCATTAATGTATTCAGACATTTTTGAAAGGGTTTATCCACATTCTAGTAATTGGGTGAATTTAAGCTAGCTGAATTTCACTTTTCAAATGCTTCTATTTCAACAGTCATTCAGTTTGGGAGCCCTGGCTTTGGCTCACAACCGTTCATCTTTTGCCTCTTTGGCAAATATCTCTCACTTGATAATTTCTGAGACAAAGGAGATTTGCTCACTACCTAGAAACCCAAATATTTGATTCCAGTTTAGTCTCTGATCAGCGACTCCTGCATAGTGACAGGCTGGCACCATGAGATGGGATGGCCAAGGCCCTACAACAAGAATTATTTCTTGACTTCACAAAAACGTTTTTCTGATCTCTCCCTATGTATGCCAAGATGGTAAAGATAAATCAATATGCCCTAAAAGAATTAATTTATCTTGGGGCAACTGGGTGGCTCAGGTGGTTAAGCATCCAACTCTTGATTCTGGATCAGGTCATGATCTCTTGGTTCATAAGTTTGAGCTTGTGCCAAACAAGCTGCACTGTTAGTGCAGAACCTCACTAAGATCCTCTCTGTCTCTCCCTCCCTTTCCCTCCCTCCCTCTCTCTCTCTCTCTCTCTCTCTCTCTCTCTCTCAAAAATAAATAAATAAACATTTTAAAAAATTAAGTAATCTACTCTTATGCTGTCAAGTCTAATTTTAATTTAGAACTATTAACTATTGAATTCACTGTTGAACTTGCCAGAAAGTCATCAAATACAGGTTTAGAGGCAGTTACACATCATCCAAAGAAAATAACCCATTCTTATGTGATTATAGGCACTAATGAGACCAGTCAGTCCCAGGTAAGATCTTACTTGCTTATTCTCACTTCAGAGCTTTCACATTACTCCATACCAGTCTTAATCTCAAAAGGAATCCCCATACAAAGATTAAATAACACAAATTGTGTCATTTCTTAGATTGCAATGAACACAAACACTATAACTAAGAAGCTACTTTTGTTTCATTCATTCGTTTATTTTAAATTATTTATTTATTTTAGAAAGAGAGAGTGTGAGCCAGGGAGAGAGGCAGAGGGAGAGAGGGAATCTTAAGCAGGCTCCACGCTAAGTGTGGAGCCCAACAAGGGGCTCGATCTTATGACTCTGGGATCATGAGCTGAGCTGAAATCAAGAGTCAGCCACTCAACCCACTGAGCCAACCAGGCACCCCTGCTTTTGTTTTGTTTTTGGTGGAAAATTAAAAGAGGGTTAAATTTTTGTTCACTTATTTTAATTCAACATTTACTTTGTATTCAGATGACTAAGGTAGTCCAGATATGCTCCACTAATGGAAAATTTGGAAAAACAATAGAAAAGTACAAAGACAAATGTAACTATCAGCTATAAACCCACTAATCATATAGTAACATTTAACATATTTACATCAATCTTGCTTCTCTACAATATTTTTTCATAGTTGACAAGGTTGTGCTTCTGCGTTTTTTGCTTAGCATTAACAAATGACAATACTTCCATAAGCATCACTGTATTGATGGTATTCCTTTATTTATTTATTTTTTATTTTTTAAAAAGATTTTTTAATGTTTATTTTTGAGAGAGAGAGACAGAGTGTGAGTAGGGGAGGGGCAGAGAGAGAGAGAGAGAGAGAGAGAGGGAAACAGAATCTGAAGCAGTTTCCAGGCTCTGAGCTGTCAGCACAGAGCCAATGTGGGGCTCGAACTCACAAACCATGAGATCACGACCTGAGCCAAAGTCGGATGCTCAACTGACTGAGCCACCCAGGCGCCCCTGGTATTCCTTTATTTAGATATACTGCCATGAGCTTAACTATCCTGATAATTAGGCTTATAACATTTATTTTTAATACATAATTTTTTAAAAGAATCATGCTTCTTTATGTAATTTAGAAAATACTGAAAAGCAAAAAGAAGAAAAGATAGGGGCTCCTGGATGGCTCAGTTGGTTGAACACCTGGCTCTTAATTTTGACTCAGGTCATGATCCCACGGTCGTGAGATCGAGCTCCGCCTTGGGCTCCACACTGAGTATGGAACCTGCTTGGGATTCTCTCTCTCCCTCCCTCTGCCCCTCTCCCCTGCTTGCACTCTCTCTCTCTCTCTCTCTCTCTCAAATAAAAATAGTCATTTGTAAAGAAGAAAAGATAAATGGGTAAATTTTTAAACGTAGCTGTGATGATTTGAAAGCTGAAGAAAATACCCTGACAACTGCCATTTCGTGAAGATCCACGAAGCAGCAGGCCCTGTGCCGTCGGATTTGTGATCTTTACTACAACCCAAAAAGCTCAGAGTGTTATAATCACTGCACTACGGGTCCAGAGTTCACAGAGCTAGTAAGAGATAAATACAGATTTTTAATAGCTGGATCTGACCCCAAGTTTATGTATTCTCCTGGCTGTGTCACACTGCTCTCCCATAACCACTCCGCTCAACCGCCATGTTTATGACCACCACCTCCAGTCTCCGCTGTATCTCCACCCTTAGGGTTTCTTATCTCCATCGCCATGTCTTTTGATCCCATCCCTACATACCTTTTCTTCTCTCTTCACCTTTATGTTCTCCTCCTCTCCTGCTTCCCTTTGACCTCCAACAAGCATTTCCTTAAGTATCAGGGTAACAGAGGTAAAGCAAAGGCTACCCTACGATGCTCATTGTATGAACAATCCCAATCATTTATCCATTCAACAAAAACTGAGAGCGTGCTATGTGGTACACACTGTTTTGAGTGCTCAGAGTATAGTAACTCCCCCATTTGTAGGATTGTTTTTAACACCAAGAGCTCATATTTTAAGGATTTTCTTCATTTTCACCATACGAAACACGCGTGCAAATTGTCAACCTGTGTTTGCGTTACCAGTTCACACAGACTAGCCGTCCATGCTGGATGGAAAGCAGAAGTGAGCCGTTCGAGAAGGATACGCGAGTCAAAAGGAAAGTCTCAGGCAATAGTCATGAAGTAATTTCTTATCGCTTATTGCCACAGAAAACTACCGCAGGCAAGAACTTCCTATTTCCATACTCAGCTGATGTGTATTTGCTTAATGCAGCTTGCCTGCAATAGTTTATACACAGACCCTCTCCACAAAACACCTTTGATATATAAGGAGAGGAAAGGAAGAAAATCAAAACATCGATTAAAGAATGAGTACCTCAACAAATACATACACTGAAGTACTATTCCTCCTCATTTGCCTGAAAGAAACCCATATTCTTTCTGTTCCTATTTTCTATGTAAAATTATTAGGGTAGAGGAATCAGGTTCTATATATGACTATGCAATGCCTAGGACAGTACTAGGAACATCCAGGCCCCTACAGACAAATAAAATCCACGACTACAGTCAAAGATGCCTTGGAGAGTGACAACTCTGGCTTCTGCAATTAAATTTCTTTCACATATACACAATCAAAGGAAAGCAAATGCTCCAAATGTACTTGGTAAAAACCTGGGAACCAACACTACCTAAATTCTCATTTTTATACAGGTATTTTTTCAAGCCTGTGAGCTTTACTGACAGTAAAATCCCTTCTAGCTGCCTGCGTACAAAAGGGGGATTCTCTACAGAGAACACAGCTTCACAAAAGAGGGTGGCCACAGAGTGTTTCCCCAAGCAACTCCTCAGGACCGAAACAAATGCTGAATTGTGCTTTTCTAAACCAAACCCTTGATCTGCAGTCCAAGCAACCGTCAATACAACATCCATTTAATAAAGAGAAAAGAAGAATGAGCTTACAACCATTATCTAATTCTAAGAGAGCTAAAGAGTGACTTTAACACGGACTTCCCAGCAGCATGTTTATGAAGAGCTGAGCAAACATCTTATCCCGAGAGTCACATTTTATTTTTTTAATTTTTTTTAAAGTTTTTAAAATTTATTTTGAAGGGGAGGGGCAGAGAGAGAGAGAGAAAATCCAAAGCAGGCTTCCCGCTGTCAGCACAAGAACCTGATTCAGGTTTCGATCTCATGAACCATGAGATCATGACCTGAGCGGAAACCAAGAGTCGGATTGTTAACCGACTGAGTCATCCAGGTGCCCCCAAAGTCACATTTTAAAACTCATCACCATTCTGAAGAGAGTGCTAGCATAGCAATTCCTTTGCCATCTTGACAAGCCAAGCAATGACTTCTGATACATCAGCCAAGGAGTGACTGTACTTACATGCAAGAAAAAGAGGGTAAATCCAAGAGCTGGCTAGTTATCCCTGAATTCGGAACACTCATAATCCACTGAGGCAAAGGTTGAGGATTCCACTCTAAGCAACCACAGCTCTGGAGACTCAGTCTACGCAGGACTAGATTAGAAGCTGAGAACGGAGTAAAGCTCTTTCGAAAGAAGAGGAAGTATTTATCATCTCTACTTCCTCAATTTTCTTGTTCTTCCCTCTTATTGTTATTGATCCTTTCCTGGATTCCCAAATCCAGGGCACCATGCACACAAAGTGGGTGTGTCCCATCTATCTGACTTCACTTATCCCTAAACGCTGCACAGTGGATTCATTTCCCAGGACACATGTACAAAACACTACCTGGTGCTACTTTCCTGTTTTGGAGGCAAAGATGTTTATGCACAGGCGTGAAGGGTGGGAACGTTCGCCAAGCTGTTCTCAGTGTGGTTAGTGGAGATGCCACTTGGTAACCATCATCCTCTTTTAGGCCCAGTCTTACTTCAAATTTCTCTTCTTTTTCCTAATTGTCCATAATGCTCTTCTAAATAGAGAGAAAAACAATCTTAGGGTCAAAAAAAAAAAAGTCTTAGCCTGCCCCTGTTTTGCGCACAAATAATAAATTCTCCAACAGCAAAACTTGTCTTTCCCACACCAGGCAAGGAAATGACGGGCTGAGAGTCAGAAATATTTGAACTCCCCACCGACAAATTCCTGCCCTCCCACCTCTCCTTTCCAACAGCAGCGTCTTGTTTCTTTAGCCCTTCTTGGGAAGAATACAATCTCACTATATTTATATTCTGCTTCCAAAGAGAAGGAAACAAACCATTAGAACTGAGCTCATGACCAATGCAATCTTCCAGAATGTGGGAGCTACATCATTAGCATGTGTATTAGTTATCTGATTACGCTGATAGAGGCTGAAAATAACAAACACCTGTGACCTCGAAGGTTGTGTGGGTCAGGAGTCTGGACCCAGGTTAGCTGGGTTCTCCCACTAAGGATCTGCCACAGGCTATAAATGCAGAGCAACAGCTGGGGCTGCAGCCCCCTCAAGGCTCGACTGGAGCAGTGAATTCTTCCAAGCTCACTCATGCGGTTGTTGATAGGATTCAGTTTCTCCCAGCTATGAGACTGAGGGCCTCAGTTCATGCTAGCTGTGGACCAAGGCCACCCTCTGTTGTTTACCACATGGGCAGCTCACAACATGGCGGCTGGCTTCACCAGAGTGAAAAAGCAACAGTGAAAGCAAGTGAGAGTGAGGAGTACAGCTCCTTGTTAAAATCCTACGTCTGGTCCTTCAGGCCTTACCATGGACGCTTACAAAGGCTTCCCCTGTCTGGCCACCTGGGGAAAGCTGGCCTCTCCACACCAGATTTGGTGTAAGTGCACTGCAATCTCCAAGGGGAATGGCCGTGAAGGTCTCAAGGGTCCCCTAGCCCATCATGCTCTCTCACATAGTTACATTCTCAGTCGCAGGTGCCTTCATTCCAAGGTCTCTTTATCTGAGTCCTTGAGCCAAGGTCCTTTTCAGGTGCTTTTGCTGAAACCTCTTTATGGAGGAGAAGACTTGAAGACATGTTTCCTACCACTCAGTACTTCCTAGACCTCCCCCGACACACACACACCCTAGTGTCCATAAAACTGCTGGATCCTTTTGTTCAGGGCTCCCTCAACATCAAGACAACCCCCACATCAGTGCTCGTCCACCTGACTCCACTGGTGCACCATTCCACGGGAGAAATGGAACAGGGGAAAAATTAGTGCTTCCTCCAGCTTTAGACTCTTGCTTATGCCCCTCCCAGTAAGTGATTAAAGCCTTTGTTCTTTCATTTTTGTCCTGTGGCTTTACTCAGCTACCCATTACCTGACAGCTCAGCTCTCCCTTTCCCAGCTCAGTTGAGCTCCCGACAGGAAAAACACAAGCAAGACAGAAGTCACAATTTTTGTCATCTATCCTCAGAAGTAATATCTCATCACTTCTGCCACATAGTGTTTGTTAGAAGAGAAGGTGGGGCGCCTGGGTATCTTAGTTAAGTGTCTGACTTTTGATTTCGGATCAGGTCATGATCTCATGGTTGGTTCATGAGATCAAACCCAGAGTCAGGCTCTGTGCTGACAGCACGGGGTCTGCTTGGGAGTCTCTCTCTCCCTCTCTCTCTGTCTCTGCCCCTCCCCCACTTGCATGCATGCATGTGCGTGCTCTCTCTCTCTCTCTCTCTCTCTCAAAATAAACAAATAAAGATTTAAAAAAAAAAAAAAGAGGAGGGAGTCACGCAGTGTGAATTCCAGGGGCAGCAGGGATGATAGTTGACCATCTTTTAGATTTAGATACAGTGTGTAAAATGTTACCCAAATTCGAATCACCACTGTTCAGCCAAATGTTAACAAAAGGGAAAACCCATCTGAAGATAAAATCGTAAGCATGGTCACACAGCAACAAGAAAATCTGAGACTTGTAGCCAGGCATTATATCCCACAGCCCAAGATATACCAAGATCATACTGCTCAGACCTGAAAACCCAATGACCCTAATTATTCCGTCTCCAAGAAACAAACAAATTAACAGATAAGCAAACCCTACAATAAACTATACCACTAGCTTAGACTCTGCAATTTCAATCAACAGAATAATTTTTCACCTAACCACAAGCATGAGAAACCTCCAGGCAAACTCATAGATTTCTTAGTGGGTTCAGATAATCTCCTTAAGCATCCATTTCAATGGGATCAGAACTCCTCAACACCTGGCCTTTCTCCTCTTGACACTCAATAAGTCCCTCCTAAGACACTCAATGAGTCCCTCTGAAGAACGACCAGGCCGGGCTTCATTGCTGTAGCCCCAGCAACTCAGCATCGGTGCAAGAGCATACCATTCCTTCCATCTTCCTTTGTAAGCATTTGTAAGGGCTGTTTCCTGGCCTACATCCAATGGGGACGAGGAGGAAATGGTCATTCTGGGTGGAGAAGTAAGCAATTCAGTTGATCTTAGATCTTCCTAAATTGAAGATGTGCAGAAAACAGCTCACATTCCAGACAGAAACCAGTGGCGTTTGATTCACGGTGTAACTGGCAAAAGACTAAAGGCAACATTTTCCAAAGCCAAGTGGAGATCCTCTGTATGTCATGTTTTGTGTCTCTGCTTCTTCACAAGTTATTAAATTCACAGATTAAACATAGCCTACACCCCAACATACCCGATGCCTCACAATCCAAATGTCAATTAAAAACTGTTAAAAATAGGTAATGTTGTTGGAGGAGCAGAGAAAGCAAGGACATATAATAAAGTTACCATTTGGTGAAAATAGAAAATAGTGGGGAATAGTGGAAATAGAAAATAGTGGAAAAACTACTTCAGTCTCTGGTTTCAGACCTCTTCTAATTTCCTTTATATTCATTTCACAAGAAGACAAAAACTAAGACAAAAATCCAAGAGAAGTTTGACAAGCTAGGGGTGCCTGGGTGGCTCAGTTGGTTAAGCATCCCACTGAAACTCAGGTCATGATCTCATGGTTTGTGAGTTCAAGCCCCGTGTAGGGCTCCACATTGACAGCTCAGAGCCTGGAGCCTGCTTCGGATTCTGTGTCTCCCTCCCTCTCTCTGTCTCTCCCCCACTTATTCTCTCTCTCTCTCTCTCTCTCTCAAAAGTAAATAAAGAAGCATTACAAGAAATTAAAAAAAAAAGAAAATCTAAGTAAGTGCTGGGGCTGAAAGAAGGAAAGCTTGAAAATCTGTAAGAAACTAGCATTGGCACCCCCACCCACACTCCTCTTTCAAATACGTCTATCAGCCCAGCCTTTACACAGCAAGCATGCACTAGCCTGTGGGAAGCCATTTTACCCTGCCCCAGGCAATATTGTGGAAGATTCACCTCTAAAAATATTGAAGCTATGTGAAGAGTACAGACAATGTATGTAGATATGGACACCCCAGGGTGAAAACTCCACATTCTGGTATTAGAGCATCACTCAGTATGTGCTGGGGCATCACATCATCTCCCTGTTGAGTAACCATAAAATGTTGTAGGTAAGTGGAGAAAGTGGCCTTCTAATTGGTCTCCCCACAGAGAGTCATGAAAATATTGTATCTGTGAAAATGAAAAGGGTGCTAAGAAAAATAAGTAACCTGAAAACAAGAAAGAACTTTTGGATATTGTAAATATGATTGCCAAATAAAGATGTTAATGGAAGGGCTAGATGATAAATTCAAGTAAATCCTTCAGGAAATATTATTCAATGACCTCATGAAAACAGTAACATAAAAGATTTCCCATAATAAAAGTCCACAAGTATTTGGATTAAAAGTTCTCACTGAATGCTCAGGATGAAGAATTTTCAGTTATTGTAAAAGTCCCACACTCCAAAGACAAAGAGAAAATACTAATATCTCCTCAACAGAGAAAACAAGTCACTTCCTCAGACACAAGGAACTAAAGCATTCCAGATATCTTCTAAGTAGCATTGAGAGTTAGAAGGCAAATGAGCAAAGTTCTGCAGGACCTTAATTTTGCCCTAGAATTCTGTATTCACTCATTCAACACAAATTTTGGACCACCATTCTGGGCACTGGAGATATAGCAGAAAATGAGCAATAAAGAAAATGCTGTCCTTCTTCAGTCAGGATGGGGTGCTCTCGAAGCAAGATAAGTGTCTGATCATGTGTTCAGTAGTAATAAGTGCTTCAGAAGGGAAAAAAAAGCAAGATAGGAAATATATTGAGTCAAGGGAGAAAATTAGGCTAAAAATTAGATGATGTAGCCAGGGAATGACTGACAAAGATGACCTCTGAGTAATGGTCTGAAGGAAGTAAGTGAGCCACCTGATACCTGAGGAAAGACCATGACATGGAGAGGGAACAGCAAGTGCTAAGGTCCTGGGGCCTCCTGAGCTTCCCTGGTACACTAGAAGAAAAGCAAGGAGGTAGGTTTGGCTGTAACTGAAGAGAAGGGGTCAGAAAAGTAAGAGAAGCCAGGTAATGCACAATTATGGTTAGATCACATGGGGTCATAGCGAGTACGTGGGGTTTTGACTCTGATGAACTATACCAGGAGTCAGCAAACTTCTTCCGAAATGGGCCAGATAGTATATTTAAATAGTAAATAGTCACAATCCATTATTCAACTCTG